ATGTGGGATCCGAACCCTTGGTGGGAGCGCCGCCACGCTCCCAAGCGGCGCACTGTAGCAGTGCGCCACCGGGCGGGCCCACGATCTTGCTTTTAATAGAGATCCTGATTCATTTCTGCATGATGCCTTCACCAGTGGGCTGATAAAATTTATGCAATTGGCTGCCAGTTTGAAACCAAACCTAGAAGGAAATCAGTGGTGGTCTAGAGGGGTTAGTTGTGTATGGATCATTCATTTTCCTTAAAAAAAAAAGTCTCTTATCAGTAAGTTCAGTGGTTCAGTGATAGAGTAGATAAAATGCTCATAGGTCTACAGGTAATAGCTGCTGCTGCTGATAGGTCAACGGTGATTTGTACCTTAGTAAAAACAATTAAATCAAACCAAGTTTTTTTTTTTTTTTAAGACAGAGGGAAAAATACAAATATGAGCTAAAGAAAAATTGTGTGATAAGATGCCAGAGAAAGAGGATTCCTAATTGGGCTCAGCTGACTACATACGTTATGTGGAAACCACATGCAAAAAAAGAAAAAGTCATGGCTCCAAGGTGCAAAATTGGGAGGAAATCATACTGGAACCACGAGGTAATTGTCCATATTGGCCTGGCACGGCTCTTACTCAAGTACCATAGCCAGTTCGGAGCTGGCTCAGAGGCAGATGGAGAGGACAGCTAGGATTTCAATTTTAGGGTCATCAGGCCTTTGTGGCATGTTTAAAGGAACCAAGGTAATTGAGAAAAGACAGAACGAACCAAGGACCTGCGTGCTGCTTCTCTTCATTTCCACGGAGGGGAACACAGGGATTTAGGGGAGATAGAAATATTCTCCAGGCAGTTATTGAACAGTTTGTGGAGTAGCATAACCAGAAGGTCTTTAAAATTAACTGTTTAGTCCTTTGTGAATGCAGGGGGTAGACTTGGAAGTCTTGGGCCTGATCACACCCACGAAAGGAGTAACATCGACAGCTTTGGAGATAGTCTCCCTCTCCTTTCCCAGGTTAAGTTCAAGCAATAACTGCAGAGGATCGACCCTCTTTCACTGAGTCTTTAACCCGGGCCAGGGAAACAACTTTTGAAAGAGGCAGTCATCCATCTAACCCATTCAAGCCATGGGCTGAAGGTCCCACTGGGAATGTCTCACTGTGACAACTGTGAGTCTTTAGCATGAGCTGGACCCTAGCTCTGCATGCAATCAGAGGTGCTCGCTGTCAGGTACCAAACAATGATGTGATCACTGTTCAGCCATTACCCCAAGTGCCACAGACCAACGCTGGTTATACTCCAGTAAGACCTGGAACTGGGATTCTCCTGCCTTCGGATCAGGCCATTTCTGACTCATCCGGGCTACACTAAATATGAAGCGCTGTACAATGCAGAGAGTGGTGTTGCCTTTGTTACAAGTGGTGCAGCATTGGATTTTCAAGTAAGTCTAAGTGTTTCTATTGTCTTTAAAATGACATAGGATATGTCCAGTTATTTAAAAAAAATTACAAAATACAAATGCCCGTGTTAATTTAGCTAGTCTCGACATTACATCCAACAACATAGAAAAGCCAAAAGATCTCCAGTTATAAGCACAAAACTAAGGAAAGTTATGGATCGCTGATTTTTTGTCAGTAATCCGTTTTCTTTTTTAAATCACCTCTCCTCATGGCCTTGCTCAGCTGGTTTTTACATTGTGCAAGACTTGTCTGTTGGACCCTGGGTAGGTGGGGCAGGTCCTATAGTAGGATTTGTTTTGGGAAGAACAGCAGGTTACGGCCTAAGGGCTGGGGGCTTCAGCTGCACACCCATCCTGGGTGCCACCGTAGGCTTG